TACATTCACACATGTGGCTGATGGTGAACTTCCAGAAGGACCAGTGTGCGGCCGGGACCAGTGCAGAGTGCTGACCACCCATTTGTTTATCCGTCTTGTCCTCCAGCCAAGTGAGGGCAGGAACCAGGACTGGGTCATGGTGGCATCTCAGGCCCCTTTTTCCCGGGGCCCTCCCACCTGCTGGCCTCCCTGCCTCTGGACCCTGGGTTCCAAGGCTGAAGAGTGCCACTGAGGCCAACCCCACACCCTCGGCCCTCACCTCTTCCCAGTGCCACCCCTAGGTAGAGCTGCCTCATGGAGCCTGCTCTTCTACCAACGTTGAAGGAGCCACTGGTGGTCAAAGCAGATCCCTCCCGGGTCTGTGCCAGCTTCAGGGGTGAGGTGCAGTGCATGGCATCTGCACCAGGGCTCAGGGACCCCAGCAAGAGTGGAGGTTTTCTGACTGAGCCTGGCATCTGCCTGCTGTGAGTCGCAGCCTGGGCACTGATGAACATGGGGCCCCTGGGGGTGCTGCCATCTCTCCCCGTAAGAGCAGATGCACCAAGGTGGCCCTGGGGAGTCCAGCCACACAACCCTTGTCCTTCCAGCTCAGCTGAGAGATCACCACTGCTGCTATTGGCTCTTTTCCTCTTTCTTTTATTTTCCCTTTGTTTCTTCTTTTTTTCTTTCCTTCTTTCCTTCGTATGGTATGGGCTGATTAACTCCCAGAAGCATCGCTGTCTCCGGTCTTAGGCATGGCTTGATTAGAGCTCTCTGAGACACTCCTTGGTGCTGCCTTTTTGGTCTACCAGCTTCATTCAGGCTGCTCATCCTTCTGTTGGTTCTTGGAACAGAAAGGATGGGTGTCTCAGGCCCCAGTCACTGGCAGGGATGCTGGGAAGGGGGGAGTTGATTCATCATCATGTCGGGGAGGGGAGTGTGGAGAGAGAGTTCCAGGGCCCCAGGGACTCATTCCAGGACTCAGTGAGACTTTCTACCAAGACCAGAAGACCTGGGCTAGTAGGTGGGGTGCACCCTGGTGCTGATGAGAGAGGCTTGGTTCTCCTGGGCAAGCCTCCTGGGCAGCAGCTCAGCACCACTGTGTGCCCCAGCCAGGAAGCCTCCGAAGCGTTCTAGCAATGCTGCTCTCCTCAGAGAGTGTCTGGGGAGGAGCAGCCATCAGGCAAGTGGTCCTCCCCAGTCTAGCAGATGCACTTCTCCATCTCCCCCTCATCATTTGCTCCATGGGCTACAACTGCACTCCAGGCAGTCAGGCAGGTGAGGGGGGAGGACCCCGAGACAGTGCCCTTCGTCCCCTCAAAGGGAGGACAGAATGACCACCCAGGAACTTCTGGAGGCCTAGAGGAGACACTTCAAAGGTTGACTGTGCCCAGTCCCCATCTGAGAGGGCCCAGGAAACTTGGGCCTGTGGTTCCAGGCCTGGGTCCTCCAGGAGTAAGTCTTGCGGGGAAGGGGGTTGCTCCTGCGCAGGCAGCGGGAAGGGAGTGGGGTGCGGGTGTCTGCAGCCATTTTCAGGCGCCGGCTGCAGCGAGGGAGTATCCCAGCCTTTTCATCGCTGGCTGCCAGACCGCGGCCGCCCTTGTTCACTCAAGGAGAATTCCCGCCTCCCCCCCCCCCAACCCCAGGCTGCCCTCCCCCAGCAGCCCAGTGAATGCCTCCTTACACATCCTGAGAAAGCATCCATAATGGCCCGCCGCCTCCCACCTCCCGAGGAATTCCGCGGCGCTGGGCCCGCAGGGAGGTAGGGCGCAGACGGCCCGCGGCGCCTTCCAATTGGATGGCCAGGTTGTGCTCAACTCCCCTGCGCGGCTGGCCAGCCACAGGCTCACCTCCCTTCCCACCGTCGCGGCCGGGAGAGGAAGCGAGGTGGCCTTTGCCCCCGCACAGGCCAGCCAGGAATGCGGGGCCACGCTTCCCATTCCGTCTGCCCGAGGACTCAAGGACAGCGGGGGCGAGAAGGGACGCACTGGGCTGCTCTCGGGCAGCGAGACTCGAGATCGCTTGCGGGGGAAGCGCGGCAAAGCCCTGGGCATACCACGCGGCTGGAAGGACCGACGCGCGCGCGGCCGCTGATGCCTCCATTGGCCAAATCCAAGCCCCTGTGGCACGCACTGTCCCGTGGCCCCCGCCCTGAGGTGCGCCTCTCCCCGGGGACGCCGAGGTCCCCGACGGCGCGGCCCCGAGGTCCTGGGCACTGTGGGAGCGCTGTTTCGCTTCACCGCGCGCGGCCGCACAAACCGCCTGGAAGGCGCGAAGTTTGCGAGACCCGTGCGGCGCGACTGCGCGTCGGGGGATGCGGACAGCCTGTAGCCCAGGGGACAGGCGCGTGGGCAGCGCCAGGTGCGCGGTCGGGCAAGAGTTGGGGTGCTCTCGTCCAGACCCGCGTGTCCGACCGGATGGTCTGTCGGGTGCTGGGTCCCCGTGGGAAGGGGCGCGGGCACCCAGAGACCCCACGCCGCGCCACCCCCGCCCCCCGCCAGCCCCGCGGAGGGGGCTTCCCACAATGCCCAGCGAGCTCCAGCCCGCACTTCCGCTGTCCAGCCGCCCACGGGGGGGCGGAGGCGCACCGACCCTCGCCGCGGCCCCCTCCGCCCGGCTAGCGGAGCCGGCCGACCGAGGGGCGGGGCGGCGGCCGGGCCGGCGGGGCGGGGCCCGGGGCGGTGGCCGGGGCCGGGGCCGGGGCGAGGGCCAATCAGCAGCGGCCGGGCGCGCGCCGGGGGGCGGGGTCAGGGTCCGCAGGCGGGGCGCGCGCGCGGGCGGCGGGGGCCGCGGGGTTGGAGCGGCGCGGGGGCGCGCGCCGGCCTGACGGACAGACGGACGGACAGACGGACACAGCGGCCAAGGCGAGCGCGCAGCTCGGACCCGCCCGGACGAAGCGCTCGCCAGGCGGCCGCGGCGATCACCGGCGCTGGTCCGGCGGCCGCGGTGCCCGCCCTCGCCTGCGCCCCATGGGGTCACAGGTAAGCGGCGCCGGCTCATTGTCCGCGGCCGGGCCGGCGTATCGCGGCCGGGCCGGGGCTCAGGCCGGCCGGACCGCTCCGGGCCGGAGCCGCTCCGAGTCGGGGCGCGCCCCCGCCTCCTTCCCCTCGCGCCCCGCCGCGCCCCGCCCCGCGGGGGCGCCCTCCCAGCGGCGATCGGTGCGCCCGGCTGCAGCTCTGGGGGCGGCGGTAGAGACCCCCGCCTGGTCCCCGTCGGTCCCTGAGCTCCGGTGGCGCGGGCGGGGCGGGGCGGGCGAGGGCGACGCGGGGTCCCCGCGGGGCTGCGCGCGGAGGCGGAGGCGGCGACGGGGTTGCCCCGCGCCCCTAGTCCTCGGCGCCTCCTGCCGCCGCCGCCGCGGTCCCTCCCCCGTTACCTCCGAAAGGGGAATTTTCCAGCTGGTAATTTCTGCTGCGTCAACGCCCGGCCCCAGGAGGCAGCCCGGGGGCGTCCTGGCGCCCCCCGCCCGCGCCGCCCCGCGCGCCCCCCGCCCGCGCCTCCTAGCCGCACCCGGACCCGCCCGCGCCGAGTTTGCCAAGAGTCGGAACTGCGGGAGGTGGGCGCGGCGGGTCCCGGCTCTCCCCCGGGCCTTAGGGGTCATTGTCTCCCCCTGAAGCCCAGCACTGGCCTCGTCTCCATTTTAATTACTGGCTAAACCAGGGCGCAGGGGCCTCGAGGCCGGGCAACTAGAGGAGCGCGGAGGAGACGGGGCGCGCAGAGAAGCGAGGGGCGCGCGGAGCGGACGGGGCGCGCGGAGGGAGCGGGGTCCGCCGCGAGCCGCGTCTTTGTTTCTCTGTAAATAGACATGTCAGTTTCGCAGGGTAGCACGAGTCAGTGTCTGACAACTCAATCTGGATGGCGATGGGCGATTTTCTGCACCAGGGGGAGGGCTCGGGCTAGTTGGGGTTCCTCTCGTCCTGCTGACAAATTCATTATTTGTAGGGTTAACGGACCACGCACAATAGGGCTGGACCGAGGAGCCTGGGTACAGCCCAAAGGGGCGAAGAACTGGTATTTTCTGATACCGAGGAAATACAAACAAAAGAAAGTTTGACTGAGATTCTCAGCGAATTTCCTTACGCTTTCCTTGCTGCAATCTCAGCGAAGCGTTTGTCGTGGATTGCGGAGGCAAGATTGTTATCAGCATTGTTTAAAGAAATGCTAATTAGGCAACACATTGGCGAGCCGCTGGGCTCAGACACCTGTGCAGAGTCCTTGAGTGCGTTTTAATTGTATCAGTTGTAGAATCTTTCATACTGGATTTATCATCAAAGGTAACTTCCCTTTGGGTAGCAGACTGTAGATTCGGTCTATCGCTGGCCTGCGTGTTGCCTGTGAAGGCAGTGTTTTCACTCATCAGAAGGGGGAAATAGTTTGTTCCCCAAAGGGAAACTTATGGAAGGGTTTTTCACATGAATGATGAAGTAAACAATAGAATTTTATTATAGTGCACTCCTTCTAGTTGGTGTGTTTCATGATAAATACTCTGAACTGAAACTTTGAGACTCCTTGCTATTTCAGAAAGGACTAAGTGAGAGGTTGCTGAGGCAGAAGTTACTAGGTGTAAGTCTGACTTAGACACTGTGTTCCCCTAGAAAACTAGTAATTATTTTTATCTCCTTTACTGAAGGGAAGGAGGTGTATGTGGGTGTTTATGGGGAGAGTTCTGTTTAGGGAGTATGGAATGGATACCTCTAGGCTAAACCCCAAGATCAACCTTTCTGGGAGGCCAGCCTCACCTCTAGGCTAAGCCCCAAGGTCAGCCTTTCTTGGAGGTCAGCCTCAGGACAGGATCTCATTAGGCCTCATTGATATTACCCTAGATGAAAGAATTTTGTTTGGATGAGATGAGTTTTGTTCAGATCTAGCTGTTTAGGATTTGAAAATGAGCTGTTTTTCCACGTCCAGTTTCTGGTGTTCAGAACTGGTGGAGTGTCGGCTGCAGGGGCGCCAACCCTCTTGGGTGCTCTGTGTCCCCACTGGATCATCCAGGGGGAGGGGGCTGCCCCACTCCTCAGTCACACATGAGCACTTGGAAGGTGAGGTCAACACTGAAGATGGGTGAGACTCCACTGGAGGCCTGGAAGGACACTCTTTTACAGTCAGACGATGTGTTGTTTGCAGACATGTTAAACCGAATATTACAAACTTTTCAACATTGTCCTTATGTGGGGTTTTTCAAATTAAGCGAAATTGGGCCACTGCGTCCCTGTGGTCTGTGTTTCTGGGACAGCTGTGTGCCTGTTCTGCTCTACCAGAGGTCTCGGACCAGCGGCGAAGGCCCCACAGAACATCTTCCAGGAGCCTGGAGCTGTGAACTTGAACTTGAATTTATGCCTCACTTTGCTGGTGCTTCCTGTGCCCAGGTGCCCTGTTGACTGCTGTGTTAATATGGGCAGAGGGTTCTTGTGCCCTGTTCTGGGGGTTTCGTGTCCTCATTAAAACAGAGGCTTTTCCTTCTCTCTGATAGAACGTATTCTACTTTAAAATCTGTTGAGTGATGGTAGGCTATCAAGAATTCCCTTGTGAACCTGCCCACTCCCCTGAACAAAAAAGATTCTTCTTTTTGCTACAAGTGTGCTTGAATGGCCCAACTCCTGAGAATAAACAATGCTTGAAAATCTCTGTTGAGACCACAAGACTCATTTCAATCTTTGCAACGCAGTTGTCTTGTCCTACCCCGGCGCCTGTGTCCTCTGCCATTGGCTCTGACTTTGGAATGGCCAGTACAGCTGGGGTCTTCAGCGCTGGGTTCACCGGCATTGTCCCTCTTTTCTGCCTTTCGGGCTTCGGTATGGTATGTGCCTGACACACATGTACTTGGGCTCTGGGTTCTGGTTTTCTGGTGATGACAGATGCTTATAGATGGAGAAGTCATGGAAAAGAAAAATAACTTTTTCTAACAAGCTGAAAAGTTGTTCTAGTGAAGGATAAGGACAAACTCAACTGGTCAAGTCTGACCTTAGGGTGATTGATGCAAAGTTTTCTGTTCAGTGTCTCTCAACACTGCCGTTTAACTCTTATTTACATTGTGAAATGACTACGTCTTTTTAAATGTCATTATTTGTATTTTAAAAATTAGCGATTTAGGTACTTTAGAAAGTTGAGAAACAGTGTTAGCGTGTTTTTCAACAGCATTTATAGAGGTTCTGTGTTTTGACAGGTGTGTTTTTTGAGTCACATTAAAGAGACATTCCCAGAGTTTCTTATTCACGATGATTTTTGGCTGTATTGAGAGCTTGCTGTGGGCCAGATTGGAGACAGAATTCCTGCAGTGGGGCTGTTGACCTGTTGGGATGGGTCAGGGTGGGGGCCCTACAGGAACCACCGATGTGAGTGACAGATGCTAGCGAGAGCTCAGAGAAGGATGGGTGTGGTCCACCTGGTGGGCTTTCTGAAGACTACTGGAGGAAAGGGTGTCCATGCAGACCCCTCCCCTGGCCCAGGTTGGGCCTTTGGTGCCAGCCCCTGGTTCCAGTACCTATGTGGCAAATTATTTTCTAACTTCCACTTCACAGAGAGTGGATAGCCAAGGAGAGGGCAGAAACTTTGGGGCCAGGTAGCTTTAGGGGCTGACTGGCTGTGGGGTTTGGGGCGAGAGGTGATGTAGTTTCAAATGATGCCTTTCAAAGCCCACGTTTCAGCACACGAATCCCTTCCTAAATGTCACACTTACAGGGGGAAAGTCTCAGGGAAGCTGTCCTTTTCCTGGCCCCCAAGTGGCAGCCCAGCCCTGCTTGTCTGAGTGGACCTGGGGTGGGACCCCTTCTTTGTGGAGCAGAAAGAAGATGCCTCTGTCTTTGAGAGAGGATTTGAAAACCTGAAGCAACCAGAGCTGCCGTGAAGATGGATGAGTGGCGGGTGGGGCCCAGGCGGCTTTGGGCACATCACACTCTCTGTGTCACCTGGCACGCAGAGGGTCTGACCCAGGTATTTTTTTTTGCCACTCTGAACACTGTCCCTCTGCTGAACCTGGGGCCGGAGAGCCCAGCAAGGACTCGGCTTGGGGAGCAAGGACCCTCAGGCTGGCCACTCACCCCTCACCTGTCTAAAGGTTGGGTTCGCTGTTCTCCAGGCTGACATCCTGGTGCTGATTTGCCCTCAGTTAGAGGCGGTGGTGCCGAGGTTCACAGGAATTGTGTAAGGGTGCCCAGAGATGGTCTTTGTGAGGCCCATCAGGGACTCCCAGCTGGGCCCGCTGGTCAGAGGGGCAACACCGGTGCACTGGGTTGTTGATTTCAGTGAGAGGGTGGACAGGGTGACAGAAAACACCATCAGGAGGGTGGCCCAGAAGCCCAGGGTGGGGCGGGCAGGATGACGTCTGGGTGTCGGATTCAGGTATGTTGTAGACCCAGGGGAGGGGCCAGGTCGCTGGAGGAGCTCAGGGCTGTGGGCAAATGGGCTGCCCATGTGAGCGGGTCGGGCGGGTGCCTCAAATGGGCCTTCGTGTCTGGAACAGGTGTGTTTTGTTTTCTCATCCCATCCCATTCTAAGCAGTGCAGCTTCAGGGCTGGAGTTTCCTCCTCTTTAGGAAGTTTGAAGATGGCTCAGACACGACTGTTTCCTTCAGGGGCAGGAGAGGGCTGACGCTGTGGGGAACATTCTCAGAATTGCAGAGCTGGCTGACTGCTCAGACCGGGTCCTCTACATTCAGTTCCTGAACCAGCGACGTCCCCTGTGCTCCAGATGAGGTTGAGTCACAGACGCCCGATGCTCAGAGTCTCGCACACAGGTGGCCATCACCTTTTCCAGGGAATCGGGCCCCTTGGCCTAGGCCCCACCCTGACCCCTGGTCTCTGAAGAAGCTGTCCATCTGCATTTGAAATCCCGTCCTTCCTGCCAGCCCTGTGGCAGCCAGCACCGTGGCCCACATCCTCTCACACGCAAAGTGGAGCAGGCTGGCGGGCCACACGTCCCAGGTCCCCAGGGGAAAGGTCACGTGGGGAAGCGGGACGCAGAGTGAAATGCTTGATCTGGGATGAGCGTGGAGCGGCCTCAGGTGGCAGAGCTTCGGGGCCGTGACCCGGAGTCTGTGACAACCCCCCCACCCCACCAGCTGTCCCCGCACTGGCTCACACTTCTCAGCAGGGGGCCACGCCCGGCTTGTGTGCACCCTGAGGTCCTCGCCACTCTGGCTCCTCCTAAACAGCAGCCCTTGACTTGCCAGTGGGTCTTCGCATCCAGACCAGGGTTGGGAGGCTGCCGGTCCGGTGGGACGGGGCCCCATGTCGGTGGCTGGCCTAGGAACTCCAGTGATCAAAGTGCGGGAAGCCTTCTGCGTTCTCCTCTCTCGGGCCAAGAACCCTGGGACCCCAGGACACTGGGAAAGGCTCGTCAGCCCTGGGGGGAGGGTCCCAGAGCTTCCAACATGGTCTCATTTGGGGCCTGTCAATTAGACAAGGTGAGGCCCCACTGGCAGGGCCGGGGGGTTGTTTAAGAAGAGTGGACAGAGCTATTCTTTTTGTCCCTGTCCTGTCCCATGAAAACCGCCTTAGCATGACTTCTGTGGCTAGTGGTCTGACTGCAGCCTCCACTGCCCGTCTCAGACCCCTCTCTGCTGACCAGCAGTCTCCATCTGCCTCTAAAGTGTTACTAGTAAGAACTGGCAATGAGGGGAAAGTTAAAAGTGGCAATTTCCCTTACAAAGCTCCTCAGGTGAGAGAATGCTGAGGACATGTGTCCCTGCTGTTGAGGAAGAGACCCAAGCTTCTGGCTGCGGTCGCCTTACCTTCTGAATATTCTCAGTAATGTCTCACAGGGTCTCATTCCTCTGATGAGAGGCGATTGCTGCTGATGCTATGTCCACGCGTAATGTTTAATTCCCAAATGGAGACTAAAGGAGGCAGGACATTTAACACCACTTGGGCACTAACTGGCCGAGAACTGAGCATCTTGTCTGGGGCGAGTGGAACTTCTCCGGTCAGCTCCCTCCTGGCACTTTCAGAGTTCTGTTCAGGATTATGTTATTAAAGTGTGTGTGTTACCATGTGTTGTCACTTTTGCTTTCGTTTTTGGTTATATATGGATAACTCCATAAGCAGGAAGTTTCCAGGTTTTTCCATGAAGACATGGTGTTTTTCCATTGCCTCTGGTGATATAGAGAGATTGTTATTTCATTGCTATTATTTTATATGAAGACTTACCCCTCAACTTCAGAGTGTTTTGAAGAACTTTTCATAAGTTAGTAGCAGACACACCCTTCAAGGGGGCAGTGACCATGTATCATGACCAGCCTGCTGGGCACCTGAGAAAAGTGGTCTTTAATACTGGGTATGTTGACTTTTCCTATTTTTCTTTTTTTCTGGCTGCACCATGTGGCTTGCAGGATCTTAGTTCCCCAACCAGGATTAAACGTGTGCCCTTGACAATGAAAGCAGAGTCCTAACTCCTGGACAACTGGGGAAGGCCTCCTATTCTTTCTTACATTGTTGGCAGAATGAGATCAGAACAGGGAGTGATAAGGTGACACTGTCCTTGGACCGCCTTACCATTAAAGTCACTGAGCTCCACTGGACGATGTGAAAAACACTGGGGTGTGGGTGGGGGTCTTTTAAACCTCTTCTCTTCTGGCTTCTCTGTCATCTGCTGCTTTTGATTCTGTTGTGGTGTGGAAATCCCAGTGCCCGGACTTGGGAGCAGAGAGAAGGCAGAAGTTTCAGTCAGCAGGTGTACCGCGTGGCTGCAGTGACTGTGGTTCCTCTGTGATGAGCAGGGCACTCAGGAGGCCAGGGAGCCGGGAGCACTTCCAGGTGTACATGTGCCCTTGAGAGCCTGAGAAGAGGGTCAGAAGGGTCAGTGCCAGGGGACCCACCTGCACTGCGTCCAGCAGATCCGCTTCACTGAGGCTCGGGTGGTCCCTCAAAGACAGAGTGTCTTCCTCTGAGCTCAGCGGATGCGCTGAGCCTTGGAGGAGCACGCAGGGCAAGCACAACTCGATGCTGCCCATGCCACTGCCTGAGGGTCACACAGACCTCACATCTACTTACCTTTGTTTTACCTCATCTTAGGAAGCAAGAATATCCATGAAGTCATGAGTCAGGCATCTCAGTTATGTTCTTCTTGATACGCACTGAAGTGAACATGTGACTATTAGGGCAGACAATGATTCTCCCTTTGTCTTGAGGGCACTCCCCACATACCCCTCTGCCACCTGCTGGGAGGGGGCCAGCACCAGGCCCAGGGTGCAGGGGTGAGACTGAGCTGCTGTGAAACCTGTCCGTGTTCCAGACTCTGGACATGAGCGGCTTTGCCACATGGCTTCCTTGGAGGAAGGGGTGGACTGTGTTTCTGGCTTGATGGGGTGAGCTTCATCCGGATACAACTTCCAGCCCCGCCACAAGCTGCTGAGTTGGGTTTGGGGGAGGTTAGTGGACTGGACTGTGTGGATCCTGGTTGGGAACCCTTCATGGCCCATCTCAGAGGGCCTTCCTACCGTCTGACTAGGGAGCAATCTGTGTAAGTTAGCCTGCTGTTGTGTGAGTTCTCTGGGGCTGTCAGAGCGAAGGACCACTAATCTGCGAGCTTAAAACAACAGAGGTTTATTCTCTCACAACCTGGAGGCCAGAAGTCCTAAATTAAGGTGTGGGCAGGGCCACCCTCTCGCCAGAGGCTCCAGGGAAGGACACGCTTCCTGCCTCTTTGAGTTTCTGGTGGCCGCTGGCAGTCCTGGGTGCTCACAGCCAAGACATGTCCCTCCTGCCTCCTGTCCTGCCATTATGGCTGTCACCCTGGTGTCAGATTTGCCTCTACTTATTAGGATGCCAGTCACCTTGAATTAGTGTCCACCATGATGATCTAATCTTAACTCAA